ATTTAAAAACATACATATGTTGTTCATCTTAGACTCTTTGCGATGCCTTGGAAGGTGATACAAATGGACATTTTGAAGATATTTTGGTGGCCCTGATCACTCCTCCTGCTAAGTTTGACTGCCAAGAGTTTATACAGGCTATAAAGGTACAACACAATGAATTTTCTTTTTGACTGCTAATAGTTTAAATGTCTTTATTTGGAATTGAACCAAGATTGAGTCACTGAAGTTGTAAACACATTGAATTTGATCACAGGGTGCCGGTACAACCGAAAGCATTTTGATAGAACTATTTGCATCACGCTCCAACCATCAAATCAAGGCTATATGTGATGCATATTTGGCTGGTTTGTATCATTTATTGTTACTTATTTCATTTTTTATCACCTTAAAAATATCTTTCACAACATTGTTATGGTTCTTTGACTCTTGGATCTCATTTAAATGTTGTCTGTTTTCCAGAAACTGGAAGAGCTCTAATTCACGACCTGAAATCGGAAGTGTCAGGGGACTTTGAAAAGACCTTGTTGATCCTCGCTGAGGTTCAGTCAAATCAGTTTTTTTTTGGTCCTGCGTCATATTTAAATTCATTCAAATGAGCGATGCAGCTGTCTCACTTACAATATGTTGGTCTTTCTAACTAAAAGGGCAAGAGGGATGAAAGTACAAATGTCGACATGGCAAAAGCTAAAGAGGATGCCAAGGTGAAGTGAAAACACTATTGCTGATGTTTTATTAGGTGTATACATAAGTACAATCAAACTTCGCTAAAAGAGTCGAATGAAAAAACTAAACATACTTCAGTTATTCTGCGCATGTATGCCTGTGTATTAAAGGGACAGTCCACCCAAAAATAGTCTTAAATAGAAAAAAGTATTTTATTATTTATTCACCATCATGTTGTTCCAAACTTGTATGAGTTTCTTTCTGTCATGACAACTCTTGAAGAGTTTAGCGTGGTAATATACATGGCAATGTTAATGTGTTTGGTCTTGGAGGTATAGCTCTGCTATGCAGCTGCTGTGGCAGACCAAGTACCGAGACTTGCTACTGCCGATGCATAACATACATGAAATTACCCTGTAGGAGATCTATACAGGTGGAGCTGGGGAAGGTGGAGGGTTTCTGAAGTGCACTGCAACTGCTACAGCAAGCACTAGCCTAGTATTTGAATGTTGAGCAGCAAGCTCATTGGCTGCTGATGTGAAAAGAAACCAATCAGCTGTGCCATGTGAATAATGATGCGATTATATTAGATTTAAGTTAGAACCTACCGGCCTGCGCCATCTAGAGTTTCATGACAGAACTTTGTATTTCTTCTGCAGAACATGAAAAGATCCCATTGAGTTTAACATTCTTACCAAAATTCTTCTTGTTCTATTATTCCCACTGTGCAGATCTTGTATGAGGCAGGAGAGAAAACGTGGGGAACAGACGAGAGCAAGTTTATTGACATCCTCTGCCACAGGAGCGTTCCTCAGCTCAGACAAAGTACCATCTGCTGGCTTAGTTTCATGTCCCTCATTTTCTATACTATTTTGTAATAATTCTGAAAGAACTGTAAACTTAATGTATAAGAACTGTATGGAACTGTAGTTTTAAAACCACTGAGTGATGATCAGTGTTCCTGTGTCTGAAATGTGTTTCAATCTTTATCTCTCAGCTCTGGTTGAGTATAAGAGTCTGAGCGGAAAGACTCTTCAGGAAAGCATTGAACGAGAGGTGTCTGGAAGACTGGAGGAGATTCTGGTGGCTATAGGTGATTATTAAGTGTTTGTTAAGGCAATTACTATTCCTTATAAGTACTTTTAAAAGTGTACAATTTAATTAGAATTTTTTTTTAGACATAATACATTTTTTATTTTATTTTGTATCATTTTCTACTTGAAAAATCTCATTGAAAATGACTCTGCTTTAGTGAAATGTGTGAAGAGCGTCCCAGCATACCTCGCAGAGCGTCTGTATAAAAACATGAAGGTTAGAACTGTTTTTCTGTATTGACTTCCCCTATTTTGTCATATTACAAAAATGATGTACAGTGAAATGTCTAAAACTGAAACATGATTCTGCAATGCCTCTATAAGCAGACTATTTTTGAATAAGAAGCATTTGTATTTTTTTCAGGGTGCTGGTACCACTGAATCTACCTTAACTAGAATCATAGTGAGCCGTTCAGAGGTTGATCTGCAGGACATCAAGGCAGAATATAAGAAGCTCTTTGGCACTTCTTTATACTCTGACATTGAGGTAAGAAGTATTAAATGAGAACTTGTCTACTGAAAAAATGTGGTGTAGAAACATTTGCCAGGAAATTGCTTGTGCTGGTAAACTTCACAAAGAATTGTCAAGTAACACATTGAATTAAATGTGAAATTTTGAAGTAGAAAGACTCGACTAGTATTATCTTGTAAAACATACTCCATTAAACTTGAAAATCTAGATTCTAAGGCTTTGTTCAAAATCCTTTTCTGCTCCTATTAATGTGATTGTAACAAGACCCTGTTGCATTTTCTGATGTACACCTTCAGTAATATCTGAACGGCTCTGGTTAAAGTGTGAGGTAGGGAGTAACCTTGACCAGTGTTTGATAGTGATTTGCAGATTAAATGATTGACATCTTCAGTGGGCGGGACTGGTGATTAACCCCACCCTGTAGGAAGGGCCTTGTGTGTGTGTGTGTGTGTGTGTTCTCTTGGCTATAGCTGCCTCCAAGTCATGTGTTTATCATCATATTTTCAAACTGAGTTCACATGAACACCACTGTAATGTTATGATTACCAGAGGGAGGCTGGATTTTCTTTATCTGAGTTGGGGCGTGTCAGTGAAAAAATAATGATGGAGGATAACTGAGTTAATTAAGTTTTAATCGCGTTGACTGTTTAGTTTACATGAATTATGTGCTCTGTTAATAAAGAATAGTGATACAGCTGGTCAGAATTCACTGCTCACTTAGCGGGTTTAAGAGGTTAATGATGGGAAACATTTACCGTCATTCTCTGTGGCTGCACAAGAATTGTAAAATGCATAGAAAAGCATGAGTTGCACACTAATGCACATCCTTTACTTTTCAGTTTGCTTACAAAAAAGCCAAAAAGCATCCCATCTTTGTGAAAAAGGAAGAATTAGCCTAAATTTGAAAGCTAGTCCATTGTTTTCTGAACAAAGTCACTCGTAAAGATGATGACTTCTGAACACGTATAGTAGGATCTTCCCAGAGGACTTGCATGTGGTTGATGCATCTTGAAGAGGTTCATAAATTTAATTTAGTTAATTCAGTCGACTGCATGACAACATCCAGAGTCGTGCCGATTTGTCTTGAGGTTCAGCGTAAAACCAAATGGGAAAACACATGAGAGTTTAACATTGTACTGCAGCATTCTTTGGACCGTGTGTGCCTCTGCATACTCTCTAGACCAGGGTTCCTCAAATCTTGCCCTGGAGGTCCAATGCGCTGCAGAGTTTAGCTCCAACCCTGATCAAACTCAGCTACCTGTGATTTTCTAATGATCCTGAAGACACTGATTAGCATGCTCAGGTGTGTTCGATTAGGGTTAGAGCTAAACTCTGCAGGAAAGTGGATCTCGTGGACCAGATTTGAGGATCCCTGCTCTAGACCATCAAACACGCGTTGCACTGTGACCTGACAAGCCCCTTGTAATAACAAATCTGCTGCTTTAAAGCAGTCATGTTTCTTTGTTTGTTCCCTTTCCATACATTACTGTTCCTAGTTTACTATGAAGTTGCTATTGCCCTCAAGTCTCTTCATTTTTGCCACACTAAAACAAGTGCTTTTAACAAAGATAATCAATATATTTCTAAATAATAAATAAATAAAGGTTCTCAATATTTAGCAAGTGCAGTATGTGGTTTAATGTCAGTAGTCACATTAATGATGTCCTTTTTATATCTTTATTGTAGTCTGAAACATCAGGGGATTTTTGTCAAACCCTGCTGAAGATCTGTGGTGAAGATGGAAAATGAATGTATCCACTGCCAAAGAATTCATCACCGCTGAAGTGCTATAATGTGAAAGGATGTCCAAATATCATTTTTATTACAATTACAATACTATTAATAAATCAGAAGAGCTTTATGTATTTTTGAACTAGCTTGATTTTTTTAAATCATAGATAACTTGTATACTTGGTTTTAGAATTACCCTAGTATAACACAAAACATTTTTTGAATCAGAAACTACACTTTAATTTGTCAAATTTTTATTACACATTATGTCTACATAGTGAATGAATAGCTGACATTTTTTCCATGCCATTTTGCGTTTTGAGATGCTCTTCAATGTGTAGTTTTGTTCCTGATGCAGCAGGTGACAGTGAAGTACATGTATTTGGTAGCAAATTGGTCAACAATTAAAATATCTTGGGATTTCAGTGGGACAAGCATTTACGTGACTGCTCATTTTGCCTTGTCACTCCCTCATAAGTATATAAAACCAGAAGTAGGATGACGTTAGGTCATAGTTCTGCTGCAGAAATTAGACTTTCATCCTCATTTGGAAATTATTAATATCTAATCCCCCAAGACAATGCAGATTGTCATGAGAAAGTGATGTTTGCAGATGCTGCTAAAACCCACAAAAGATTCATAGCCGCTTTCACCAATAAGGACCACTGATAAGACTTGAAACCTGTTTTAATTTGCTATGGAGCATCTGTGAGGTCACAACGTGATTTGAGGCCCTGAAGTATGATTGTATATGAGGGAAAATCATTCTCATGTGATATAGCTTGAGAATGTGCTAATATTACACTTGGTAAGAAAGCAGGATGAAATATTATGAGCAGCAAACAACTGTTTATGCAATGAAAACTGATTTTACATACTGTAATTTGGGTTTTTATTGAAATTCATGTCCTAATTAAACATGAGCATGTGTAAAAACAGTCTGCAGAATTGAAAACTCACAGATCATCTTAATTACTGTTCATAATATACAGCTGTTATTACTTAAAGGGATAGTTCACCCAAAAATGAAAATGCTGTCATTTACTCAACATGACCACCACCAGCACATGCCAGAGCTGGTGACTGGCTCCAAGATAGTTCAGCTGGCCTGTGAGGACAGACATAAAAATGTGGGTAAATATTTGTTCTGACAAATTATCAACGTGATTCTTGACTGATTTGGTCACAATTTGATTTTATTTGATTAGACTTCAATACGATTCATTAAAAAAAGCACAACATGTAACCAGAATTTGGTGATCTGGATTTGATAGTTTTCAACAACTTAAAATCTAACATCAGCATTTAAAGAGTTTTTTTTTATATATATATACAGTGGGGCAAAAAAGTATTTAGTCAGCCACCAATTGATTTTCCACCATAATTTGCAAATAAATTCTTTAAAAATCCTACAATGTGATTTTCTGGATTTTTTTTTCTCATTTTGTCTCTCATAGTTGAGGTATACCTATGATGAAAATTACAGGCCTCTCTCATCTTTTTAAGTGGGTGAACTTGCACAATTGGTGGCTGACTAAATACTTTTTTGCCCCACTGTATATATATATGTGGGTTGAAAAGAAGGGTGAAAGATTTTTTTGGATTAAAGAAATAGTTGTATTCACCCTCAGGTCATCCAAGATGTAGATGAGTTTGTTTCTTCATCAGAACAGATTTGGAGAAATGTAGCATTACATCAGTTGTTCACCAGTGGATGCTCTGGAGTGAATGGGTGCCGTCAGAATGAGAGTCCAAACAGCTGATAAAAACATCACAATAATCCACAAACAAAACCATCAAGACGTTTTTAACTTCAAATCATTGCTTCTGCCTAAAATACAAGTCCTCTATCCATAATACTGCATCTGAATCAGGAGAGAAATTTAGGCAGCTAAAACGCCTTGATGGATTAGTTTCTTACAAATACGCAGCTTTTGGCTTCACAAGATGTTAATTGATGGACCAGAGGGGTGTGGATTACTTGTGAATTATTATAATGTTTTTATCAGTTGTTAGGACTCTCATTCTGATGGCACCCATTCACTGCAGAGGATCCACTTGTGAACAACTGATGTAATGCTACATTTCTCCAAATCTGTTCTGATGAAGAAACAAACTCATCTACATCTTGGATGTCCTGACATTTTCAGCACATTTTTATTTTGGGGTGAACTATTCCTTTAATAAAATACGGCAATTTAGAATAGACAATTCACCTGGAAAGTATCGTTCTGGGATTTTACTGACGTAGAAAAGGAATGCTGAGGCGGCAATCAAATACATGATCATGACTCGAGGAAAAAACACCTGCAAAGAGATAAAGTGTTCGGTATTAATAATAGCACAACCTTCACTGGTAAAAGTGATATATTGCTATTTCCCTCCTCACAGTGTCTCCAATAATACATGATGCAACAAGCAGATATATCACCTTTACGATTTCAGAGTCAAATCCTCCATTGATCCAGACCCAGTGGCAGGCAGGGATGATGCCGTATCCGGCCACAGAGCAGAACATGACAGAGCGCAGTTTCTTCCACTGCTGTGTGAGGTAGAGCGGATGAATCTGAGCCGCAAACACAGCCAAGATGAGCGCCAGCACCGTCAGCAGGTACACCTGCCTCCAAAACTGAAACAAATGTCACGTGTTACTACATCCGCAAAGGATATCAAAAAATTGATTGATACTCAAATCTATATTCATACTTAAATCAGATAACCATATCCATCTCTACATAAACCAAGCTTTTAAAGCCATGTACAAGCAAAACATGATCTTACTACAGACTCTTTCTGTAATTATTTAAGATCTTAATATATTTATAAGTACAAATAAATATGTATAATATATACACTACCGTTTGAAAGTTTGGAATAATGACGTTTTTAAAATGTTTTTGAAAGAAGACTCAAGTTCACCAAAGCTGCATTTATTTGATTAAAAATGCAGTAAAAGCAGTAATATTCTGAAATGTTACAACTTCAAATAACTGTTTTCTGTGTGAATATATTTTAAAATGTTTTTATTGCTGTGACGCAAAGCTGAATTTTCAGCATCATTACTCCAGTCTTCAGTGTCACATGATCCTTCAGAAATCATTCTGATATGCGGATTTGCTGCTCAATTATTATTGGAACTTAATTGTTCTTATTATCAGTACTATAAAGTTTTTATGTAGAGTTATAAAGTTCCTGCAGCTCATACTTTTATGGAAGCCATAACATATTTCCTTCAGTATTCTTTGATGGAAGAGAAAATTCTAAATAAGTTGAAGTACAACAATAATCTTTTGTAACAATATGTTTTACTGTCACTTTTGATCACTTTAATGCATCCTTTCAGAATAAAAGTTTTAATTTCTTTCTTTTTTTAAAAAAAAACAAAATCTTACCACTAACTTTTGAATTGTAGTGTATCACAGTTTTCACAAAAATGTTTCTTGAGCACTAAATCAGCATATTAGAATGATTTCTGGAGGATCATGTGACACTGAAGACTGGAGTAAAGATGCTGAATTGATGCTTTGATCACAGAAATAATGTACATTTTAAAATATATTCACATAGAAAACAGCTACTTTAAAGCATAATTATATTTCACAATATTACTGTTCCAGCTGTTTTTTTTAATCAAAAATAAATGCAGCCTTTCTGTCTTTCAAGGGGAAAAAAAAAAACTTCAAATAAATAAAATGTAATTTTAATTACATACATACAATAAAACATTTAAATACGAAATACAAAAAAAAGAAACCATCAATCCTCATACTTCAAGTCCGCTCTTATAAAACACATCTGTCATACACTGTTGCAGTAGAAGGCATAGAAGACTCCAGGCACATAACATCCCAAAATCCCCACGGATATTCCAGCATAGTCCAGAGCAAGCCAGCGGCGACACGTCTTCTCCGAGCGATGACAGCAGAACAAGTGATAGCCCACAGAGCACAGCATGCAAACCTGACCATAGAATACAAAAAGAAAAACCCATTCATTAATATGTAACACTTATTTGTTCCTGTGTATAACACATGATTATCTAAGCTCTGTCAAAGCGCATAAACAGAAATATAGGTAAAAATTTCCCACCGCTCATTTTATGTATTACCTGAAAACAAAACAGTCCTATTGAATAAATGACATAGTCCTCTCGTGACGCCCCCGCAGACGGCAGAACTGTGGCCATATCATTCACTCCCAGCGAGAAGAACAGCAGGAACCCAAGCAGATGACTCCAGATGTTCACCGTCTCGTTGGACAGAATGAATATGCTGTGGGATATGAGAAATAATGAGTAAACGAACGGCAACACATCTACACTATCAAAAGGGAAAGAAACGCACCTTCTGAGGCACAGTTTGGATGGCAGGTGTGCTCTGTATCCGTCTGTGATGTACGGATTCTCCTTCAGAAACACTGGGATCTGTTCATAGGTGTATAATCGGATTCCTCTGGGCACCAGCACAGGCCAGTACTGATAACTGCCCAGCTCAATGTAATGAGTGCTCTTGAGGGTGTTCTGGGGCATCTTGGTTCATGTGGCTGGAGGAGCAAAGCAGATGCATGTCTCATTCGTTTCAATAAAACACTACGACTGTCTCAAAAAGGCCCGTCCGCTGGTTAGTCAGGATTCGCCGTCCCATAGCGCAAAGTCACATGGCTTGTTTTGATGCGCTTGGAGCAATTTATTCGCAAAATGCATTCCCATCTCCCATTATTCGCACAAGTCAAAATCCACCTCAAGCGAGCGTAAAACCTTCTTTTATTCGAAATTCAGCGTTTCCATCTCTCGATTCTGATGCGATACTTCACAATGCGCGTAAAAGCACAGAAGCCTAAAACCAGCTCCAACAAAAAGCCCTAGAGATAACGGTCTAGATTTAAACTAGGACACATTGTGCTCCTGTTCGAGTTCACATAGCTTTTCATAGATTGACATCTATGGCTGGTAAGATACGTTCAAACACAAAAGTCTGTATTCTCCTGAAAGCTAATATATCATAAACACAACCAAACAAGCAATGCACTGCCGTTTATCGCACTACAGATTGGAACATGTATACATGTTTTGTTTGTGCCGCTGATGTGCAGCAGCTAACTGCGCTCTAACGGGGATTAGATCAGGCTTTTAAATCCATTAGATCTCCGTGTAAGTACGGCAAACCCCTCACCTCCAGGTAAAGGCCTGCCGTCTATCCCATTCAGCCCCGTCTGTTCCTTCATTTCTGCTTAGTATCACAATATGAGCGTCATGTTGATGACCACCGGTTAGCCGTCCAGCTTCTTCTTCTTCTTCTTAGTTTTATGGCGGATTGCAACCATGACTTATCAGGTGCATACCGCCACCTACTGTATCGGAGTATGCAGCATGGATTATATCTCCCTGAATGCACTTTACATTATATATTTTTTTATTTATAAATAAATATTATAGCATTACTATCTAAATCCTATAATATACCCCTGTATCCTTCAGATATTCCACAACAGCATCCAGTGCATCTTTAACCCCTTCTCCTGTTGTTCCCAAAACAGTCCAGCTTCTTCTTCTTCTTCTTAGTTTTATGGCGGATTGCAACCATGACTTATCAGGTGCATACCGCCACCTACTGTATCGGAGTATGCAGCATGGATTATATCTCCCTGAATGCACTTTACATTATATATTTTTTTATTTATAAATAAATATTATAGCATTACTATCTAAATCCTATAATATACCCCTGTATCCTTCAGATATTCCACAACAGCATCCAGTGCATCTTTAACCCCTTCTCCTGTTGTTCCCAAAACAGTCCAGCTTCTTCTTCTTCTTCTTTTGTTTTTATTGGCGGTTAGCAAACAGCTTTCGGGTGCATTACCGCCACCCACTGATCTGGAGCATGGACTCAGGAGCTAAATCACTATACACAAGGTCTACTGTTTCTTCCTCTCCACAATATTCACACTTTCCATTATTATGCTTTCCAATCATGCATAGAGAACTGTTTAGACCAGTGTGACCATTCCTTATTCTTGTTATAACCTTCCCCTCTTTCCTATTTCGTCCTCCAGTTCCTATCTTTCCAACTAATGGGATATTTTTAAACCGGTATCTCCCTTTGGTTTCTTTGTTCCATTGATTTTGCCACATCTGTCCCTTTATCACCACCTTAGCTTCTGACTTGCTAATATTTATATTTATGTGCTTATTTCCACTCTTCAAAGCAGATTTTGCTGCTTTATCTGCCTTTTCATTCCCATCAATTCCAACATGTGCAGGGACCCACACAAACCTAACAGACAAATGTATTTGATGAATTCTGAATAATGGTTGTAGTATTTATCTACTCCTGGGGTTGCAAAATTTTAAACTCATTAATGCTGCACATGAATCTGATGCAATTACCACTCTCTCTGGCCTGACCTCCTCTACCCACTGCAAAGCAATAATCATGGCCATCATTTCACATGCATATACAGATATATCATCGGTAATTCTCAACATTAAACTCAGGGATTACTACTACTGCTGCTGCTGCTCTACCCGTTTTAGGATCTTTAGAACCATCAGTATAAATCTGTAAATAACCATAATAATTTCCTCTGATGTATGAATTAAAGATCTTATAATTTCCCCCATATTCATCTCTCATCAGTTCAAGGAGGCTAAAATCTATCTCTGGCTATCAGACATTATACAGTCTGTTAATTGTTTCATACTAATCCCTGCCTAACTGTGATCTTTCACTGTCAGACGTTAATCTCCATATAGTCACATATTCTATCAGACCATTTGAGTAATCATGTCAAGAATTTATTGTTCATAGTATCAGCTCATAAATTAACCATTTGACATTTCATTTTTAATGTAATACAGGCTGTTACGTTTCAAAGACTAACAATCATTACATCATAAACGCTCACAAGTGAACTACTAACATTTATTTGAATGGATTTAGATGCCATTTACTTCATTAACAAACAATGTCACAATGCCACTGATGAATTTAATGTAGCCTGCCTGAAAAGAGACACATGATCCTTCAGAAATCATTCTAATATGCTGATTTGCTGCTCAATTATTATTTGAACTTAATTGTTCTTATTATTGATATATTCTTCTAATTGTTCTTTGTATTGATATAAAGTTTTTATAGAGTTAAGTTTCTGCTGCTTAATACTTTTGTGGAAATCATAACATATTTCCTTCAGTATTCTTTGATGAAAAGAAAATTCTAAATAACTTGAAATACAACAATAATCTTTTGTAACATTATAAATGTTCATTTTCACATTTGATCAATTTCATGCATCCTTTCAGAATAAAAGTTTTAGCAGATTGCTTTACAAAAAGAGCAATCCCTTAATGCACTGTGAAAAAAATCAATCTGAGAGAAATTACCATTAAAAATATACATATAAATACGAAGTATAAATGCAAAGTATCAACAAAAAATTTTTTAATATATACAATTTCGCTAAAAATTTGTGTTAAGTATTTTTATGCTTGTTATAGTCTCACGCTATTAGCTTAGTAACATACACCAAATTGTATTAAAAGCAGTAGAGAACTAAGTGTACAGTGATGTCTTTGTAGGTGGAGTGCTATTTATATGACACAAATTTGTTTTTCCCTGTGTATAGCATTCCATGTATGTCTTCACAACTCATCAATTTACTGTTTTCTTTACCTGAATGAATCTAAAAAACATGAACAAATTAATTTCTTTATTGATACAAAACAAAAGCTCCTTTCTTGTTGATTATAATAATATACAGATTGCATAAACCAAGGTCACTGTACCTTGTCATTTGCTGTGGGTCTCATGATAGCAACTCTGTCGTATTGTCTACGCAGCAATGCTAACACAGCATCAAAACGCCCCTAAAAACATTCACATTACAGAAAAATACACAGAAGCACAACAGTATTTTTAAAAATACATACGTTAGCACAGTCCAGCAATAAAAAGCCAAAGTGTTGACAGGAAACTTACTTTAATGGGTGTGTACCATTTGTCTGGGACTGGGGGCTGATATGTTGGTGGTGGTCTGGGTGGGGGTCTTTTTACGGGCTCTTCAAACTCCTCCTCTGGCATTGTGACCACAGCATTTTTAGCTTTCGCTAACCGCGCCCCTTCCTCTGTAGAGCCCTTCTCACCCCAGCGAACCTGCGGATGCTGTGAGCTTCAGCGTACATCCATAAAACTTTTGTTCTATGTGCCAGAAGAATGCCATGAAATCTTTTTTATGCCTGATCTGTCAGTATCATCTCAGTGCGCTTTTATTACATTTTATGCACGAACAGGAAGATGATTTAAGCATTTTCTAACATTTAAGTGTGGGGATGAGAAACTTTTGGAAAATGCTTTAAAATACTGGTATAGACGGACAGCGTTTTTTAAAATGAAAACACTTTCTGGATCCGAATTAATGTAGACTTGTCAAAGATACTGTACCCCATTTTGCCAAATTGCAGATTGCTTTACAAAAAGAGCAATCCCTTAATGCACTGTGAAAAAAATCAATCTGAGAGAAATTACCATTAAAAATATACATATAAATACGAAGTATAAATGCAAAGTATCAACAAAATTTTTTTTAATATATACAATTTCACTAAAAATTTGTGTTAAGTATTTTTATGCTTGTTATAGTCTCACGCTATTAGCTTAGTAACATACACCAAATTGTATTAAAAGCAGTAGAGAACTAAGTGTACAGTGATGTCTTTGTAGGTGGAGTGCTATTTATATGACACAAATTTGTTGTTCCCTGTGTATAGCGTTCCATGTATGTCTTCACAACTCATCAATTTACTGTTTTCTTTACCTGAATGAATCTAAAAAACATGAACAAATTAATTTCTTTATTGATACAAAACAAAAGCTCCTTTCTTGTTGATTATAATAATATACAGATTGCATAAACCAAGGTCACTGTACCTTGTCATTTGCTGTGGGTCTCATGATAGCAACTCTGTCGTATTGTCTACGCAGCAATGCTAACACAGCATCAAAACGCCCCTAAAAACATTCACATTACAGAAAAATACACAGAAGCACAACAGTATTTTTAAAAATACATACGTTAGCACAGTCCAGCAATAAAAAGCCAAAGTGTTGACAGGAAACTTACTTTAATGGGTGTGTACCATTTGTCTGGGACTGGGGGCTGATATGTTGGTGGTGGTCTGGGTGGGGGTCTTTTTACGGGCTCTTCAAACTCCTCCTCTGGCATTGTGACCACAGCATTTTTAGCTTTCGCTAACCGCGCCCCTTCCTCTGTAGAGCCCTTCTCACCCCAGCGAACCTGCGGATGCTGTGAGCTTCAGCGTACATCCATAAAACTTTTGTTCTATGTTCTTTTGGATGGCGTTGGATTATCGCGTTACCTCCATCGGGGTGATGCCACCAGGCCCTCTGGCACCGTAATAAGACGCATCCACTGTAGGCCATTTCTTCTTCGGCAGAGGGTCCTCCTCAGGTTCCTATAAGTTATGTACCAAGCATTTTAAGAAATGGGCATTTCTGCAAATTATCATTTCTTTCAAGCCCTGATGTACTGTACTTACAGGTATTGGGCATGGAGGTGGAGGGCGAGATGGAGGTGGATCCCTGATTACCTGTCATAGGAGGAGAAAAACAGCACTTATAAATAGTAATCAAAACGCCCCTAAAAACATTCACATTACAGAAAAATACACAGAAGCACAACAGTATTTTTAAAAATACATACGTTAGCACAGTCCAGCAATAAAAAGCCAAAGTGTTGACAGGAAACTTACTTTAATGGGTGTGTACCATTTGTCTGGGACTGGGGGCTGATATGTTGGTGGTGGTCTGGGTGGGGGTCTTTTTGCGGGCTCTTCAAACTCCTCCTCTGGCATTGTGACCATAGCATTTTTAGCTTTCGCTAACCGCGCCCCTTCCTCTGTAGAGCCCTTCTCACCCCAGCGAACCTGCGGATGCTGTGAGCTTCAGCATACATCCATAAAACTTTTGTTCTATGTTCTTTTGGATGGCGTTGGATTATCGCGTTACCTCCATCGGGGTGATGCCACCAGGCCCTCTGGCACCGTAATAAGACGCATCCACTGTAGGCCATTTCTTCTTCGGCAGAGGGTCCTCCTCAGGTTCCTATAAGTTATGTACCAAGCATTTTAAGAAATGGGCATTTCTGCAAATTATAATTTCTTTCAAGCCCTGATGTACTGTACTTACAGGTATTGGGCATGGAGGTGGAGGGCGAGATGGAGGTGGATCCCTGATTACCTGTCATAGGAGGAGAAAAACAGCACTTATAAATAGTAATCTCACTAATATACACATTTGTGGAAAATAACATAAGATGTGTATCTATAGCACTCACCACAGTGC